CTCTCTGGGACTATCATAAACATCTAGATAATAAGCTTTCCTAGAGCCCCTTCATTTTCCAATCCTTTTTCTGCTTTATTGCAGTATGAGTGACAAAAATAATTGTAATATATTTAAAGTGTATACATTGTGGTGATGTGTTTTACGTAGACACAGTGAAAGGATCACCTCCATAGGGTTCATTAGTTCCCATCGCCTCCCGTATATATCTGTTTTCTTTTTCATTATTTTTTTTCCTCCCTTCCTCCCATCCCCCACCCTGCTTCCTTCCTTCTTTCCTTCTCTCCTTCCTTCTCTCCTTCCTTCCTTCCTTCCTCCCTCCCTCCCTCTTTCTTTCTTTCTTTCTTTTTTTTTCTTTCTTTCTTTCTTTCTTTCTGTCTTTCTTCTTTTTCTTTCTTTCTTTTTTGTGAGAACATTTAAATTCTAACTATCTAGCATATGTCAGTTTTATGATGCAATATCACAGCCACAGTCACCGTGTTTCACATTTGCCTTTCTAATCGTGGGGGATGCGATGCTACCTCACCGGGAATGGCCGTGTGAGTTGTCCCTTATGCTTTCTCAGTGCCACGGCTTATGGGATGAAGATGACATCACCGACAGTGGCACAGACAAGGAAGAGTCGGATGATGAGCTGTCCCTCAGTGGTGGCAGGAGAGCCTCCTCTGATTCTCTGAAATCCATCAACCTGGCCGCGTCAGCGGAGTCGGTGCACGTGTCCTTCCCGGAGCAGCCCACGGCCATCCGGAGGAAGCGATCGGGCAGTAGCTCCCAGATATCGCCCAGATCCAGCTTTTCTTCCAATAGGTCCAAAAGAGGTATCTGTCGCATGATTTCCTTAGGCTGGAAAAACTCTGAGTTTTCTGCTTGTTCCGGTGCCAGTGGGTCTGGGTCTTGGGCAGGGGCGTTTACGGGGTGCTCTCAAGGAGACAGATGTGGTGATGTGAGAAGAAAGTGCTTTGACATCACAGGCTCAAGTTCAGTTCGTAGCTCAACTGTGTGACCTGGGGCAGCCATATCGTTCTTTAAAACATCTGATTCCTTCTCAGGACGAGGATTTGGGGTCGTTGTGAAAAGTGGCCAGCACACTGCCTCGTATAGTAAGTGCTGGGCACATGCTAGTTTTTAAATCATATCCAGAGATATGAGATATTTCAGGGTGTGTCCAGAATGCTATAAATCACAATTTATTTTGAAAATATTTTTAGATTTTATCAGTGGAAACTTT